AAATTAAGCAAATGGGGGAAAAAATTAAGCAGATGAACAGAACTCTTCCCAAGTTTAAATTTTTCTCTATGGTTTTTGAGATTCTTTTTATTTTTGGAGTCCACCATCAGTGATTTGCCAGAAAGCACCAGGTCATGCCAAAATAGACGAGTGCACAGCAGCTGTTGGTTAACATTTAAATTAAGAGTTTATCTTTTATGGATGTGTATACTCATGGTTGTTATTTTCTTTCTTTCTTTGTTTTGAGGCAGGGTCTTACTGTGTTGCCAAGGCTGGAGTACCATAGCATGATCATAGTTGACTGCATTCTTGAAGTCCTGGGCTCAAGTCATCCTCCTGCCTCAGCCTCCAGAGTAGCTAGGACTACAGACTCATGCCACTGTGGCCAGCTAATTATTTCTTTTGTAGAGACAAGAGCTCACTGTGTTGCCCAGTCTGGTCTCTAACTCCTGGCCTCAAGTGGTCCTCCTGCCTGGGACTCCCAAAGTGCTAGGACTGGAGACATGCTGCTGTGCTCAGTCATGAATGTCATTTCCTACTGGAGCTTACTACGTGTCAAGTGAACATTTCTAAGTAGTTTCAGAGAGCTGACCATGCAATTTTGTGTTAAAACCTAGAGCCCACGAGGAATCAAATACATGAAAAGAGGGTGTCCTTGTCAATTACAACATTGCCCCACAGTTAAGAGGTGGTCTAGGGCAGGCGTCTCAAACCACTGTACCACCGACTGGTACTGCACAGCAGGAGGTGAGTAGTGGGCTTCATTGTATTTATAGCCACTCCCTATCACTCCAATTACCACCTGAGCTCTGCCTCCTGTCAGATCAGAGGCGGCATTAGATTCTTATAGAACCACGAACCCTATTGTGAACTGTAGATGTGAGGGATCCAGGCTGTGTGCCCCTTATGAGAATCTAATGCCTGATGATCTTCCACTGTCTCCCTTACCTCTAGATGGGACCGTCTAGTTGCAGGAAAGCAGGCTCAGGGCTCCCACTGATTCTACATTATGGTGAGTTGTATAATTATTTCACTATATATTACAATGTAATCATAGAAATAAAGTGCACAATAAATGTAGTACACTGGAATCACCCCGAACCATCTCTCTCCTGTGGTCCATGGAAAAACTGACTTCCACGAAACTCATCCCTGGTGTCAAAAAGGTTGGGGACTGCTGGTCTAGGAAAGCAAAAGTGCCCATAACACAAAAATATTCTTCAATGACGACATGAGCTATCAAACTCCACCAAAACCTCCTTCTCCGCCACCTACGATTCAATGGCTTCACCTTGCCAATTATTGAGTGTCAATATCCACCATCATGATACGAACACAAAACAAAGTGGCAGCTCTGCGAAATAAGGTGCAGTGACTGGCAAAGTCAGTGGCCTTGGAAAGGCCAAAAAAAGATTCAGGGGCCGAGTGCAGTGGTGCACGCCTGTAATCCCACCACTTTGGGAGGCCAAAGCGGGCGGATCACCTGAGGCCAGGAGTTCAGAGTTCAAGACCAGCCTGACCAACATGGTGAAGTCCCATCTCTACTAAAAATACAAAATTAGCCGGGCATGATGGTGCATGCCTGTAATCCCAGCACTTTGGGAGGCCAAGGCGGTGGATCACAAGGTCAGGAGATCGAGATCAACCTGGCTAACACGGTGAAACCCCATCTCTACTAAAAATACAAAATTAGCCAGGTGTGGTGGCGCATGCCTGTAATCCCAGCTACTTGGGAGGCAGAGGCAGTAGAATTGCTTGAACCCAGGAGGTGGAGGTTGCAGTGAGCTGAGATCACGCCACTGCACTCCAGCCTGGGCAGCAAGAAGGAAACTTCATCCAAAAAAAAAGAAAAAGAAAAAGAAAAAAGAAAGAAAAAGATTCAGGGCAATTTACAGCTGAATGTACGCTAAGACCACAGGGGCTTTGAGAGACTTAAACACCAAAGAAGTAAAAGAAGCCCTTAGGAAAACTGGTAACCCATCAAATAAATCTGTAAGAATGATCCTCTTTAGCTCAGGCTGCGGAAGTCAAGCATGACATGAAGAATGTCGTTTTACACTCTCACATGATTTCATCCCTCACCCCAAAAAAAGTTATGGAAAAAATTTATTTATTTTATTTTACTCTTAATTTAATTTACTCTTAATTTATTTTACACTGAATCTACAAATTAGCACCTACTTGTAATTAAAATAAAATTCTTATTACATGTAAGATGAAATTAACCTATTTTTATAATTTGCAACGTCGTTTTTCTTTTCTCTTCTTTTGAGACAAGGTCTGGTTCTCTCACCCAGGCCGGAGTGCAGTGGCGTGATCTCAGCCCACTGCAACCTCTACTTCCTGGTCTCAAGCGATCCTCCCACCTCAGCGTACCGAGAAGCTGGACTACAGGTATGTGCTACCACACCAAAGTAGTTTTTGTATTTTTTGTAGAGACAGGGTTTCACCATATTGCCCAGGCTGGTCTCAAACTCATGACCTGAAGCAATCCACCCATCTGGGCTTCCCAAAGTGCCGGGATTACAGGCATAAGCCCCTGTGCCCAGCCTGCAATGTCATTTTTCAAGTTCAGTCAAATATTGTGCCCACTTTCTTTCCCTCCTCCACACACATACTATCTACAGTGAAACTTTGGTCTCTGTGATCTTTTTCTGGAACAAATTATCTTCAGACAGTAAAAATTTCCTTCATTTCATGCCATTTAGCTCAGTTAGTGTAATGAAAGGTCATATGACAAAATGTTAATAGTGATGAGTTTTGGATGATAGACTCATAGGTGCCAGCAAGTTCTCTTTTACTTAAATATATGTTTAAGTTTTTCTAGAATGGATATACAATCTTAAAGACGTTTTAAAGTTACAAATAAATTTTTTGAGAGCACTGTAGAAATGCTTACCCATCTGTCGCTCCCCTCCTTCTTTGCTAACAGAATTTTCTTTCTTTTTGGTATTTAGATTAAAATGTGCTTAGCGGGACCTCCCTCGGCTCCAGAAAAGAACCAGGAATTGCCAGGCATGGTGGCTCATGCCTGTAATCCCAACAGTTTGGGAGGCCAAGGCAGGCAGATAACTTGAGGTCAGGAGTTCGAGACCTGGCCAACATGGCAAAACCCGGTCTCAACTAAAAGTACAAAAAATCAGCCAGGCATGGTGGCACACACCTGTAATCCCAGCTAGTCTGGAGGCCGAGGTGGGAGAATCACTTGAACATGGGAGGCAGAGGTTGCTGTGAGCTGAGATCATGCCACTGCATTCCAACCTCGGCAACAGAGTGAGACCCTGTCTCAAAAAAAAAAGAGATGTTAGAGGAAGTATTTCAGGCAGAAAGAATGATACTAGATGAAAATCTAAACCCAAAAAAAAAAAAAAAAAAGAACCAGAAATGCTTCAAACAAATCATAAACACTCCAGTCCCCTTTGCCAGTGATTGCTTTAGGGGTTCGCATATGACCAAGTTTCTCCCTGATTTAAAAAAAAAAAAAAAAGAGACACAGGAGAAGAACCTTATCCTCCACTTCCTTCATGCTTTTGGATATTATCACATGAAAATATGATATCTGGAACTATGGCTACCACTTTGTGACCAAGAGAAAGAAGCTGAGAAAAATCCTAAGAAAGTCAACCCTGAAATCAGCCACTAGGCTTCCTGTTATATGAGGCAATTAACTCCTACTGGTTAAGCCACGTTAGTTAGGTGTTATCTTACTTGCAACCAAATATCCCAAATGATAGGAACACTGAGGTCTGTGATGCTCAGCTTCCCAAAGATGTATACGAACCATTTTGTAAATACTCTTCCGTAAAGGGAGACCACAAAGAATGTGTGTGTGTGTGTGTGTTTAATACAAAGACAGATACCTAACTCCAGGAGCTGTCACTTTACAACCAGAGATTACATCTCCAAGGTTGTCCTTGCAAGGCTCCACCTGCTGGTCGTTGGAGGTAATGGCAGGCCCTGCCTAGAGGGGCCAAGGTTCTGGTCCTACCTGTGGAGTCCAGCTAACTGTCAGAAAGTCGGGGCACTTATACCTGAGCCTCTACCTTGGGGGCAGGGTCGTGGCATCTCTCATGCACACCTGGATTCCTGCCTCAAGAACTTCCAGAACTGGGTTCCTCTCAACTCCCAGCTCAGATCCCTGGGTTCCCACCTGTTGGTGCCCTTTTAGAGGGGGTGTGACTTTTGGGGCTTCTTGTACCCTTTGCCTGAAGTGGGAGGATCGCCTGAGGCCAGGAGTTCGAGACCAATCAGGATAGCAATATCCTGTCACTTCAAAAAAAAAAAAAAAAAAAAAAAACCTTTTTAAAATTAGCTTGACATGGCAGTCCACGCCTATAGTCCCAGCTACTTGGGAGGCTGAGGCAGAAGAATTGCTTGAGCCCAGGAGGCGGAGGTTGCAGGGAGCCGAGATCTCACCACTGCACTTCAGCCTGGGTGAGAAAGTGAGACCCTGTCTCAAAAATAATAAAATAATAGTAAAAATAGTAACATGTAAACATGAAGGTAGCAGGCATAAGTCTTAAGTTTGGAAAAACCAGCATTAACAATCTTCACAAGAAGCTACAAGATACAGACTATCACCCCTTTTGACAGATGAGGAAACTGAGGCTGAAGAGGAAAAGATATTTACCCACAGTCCCACAGGGGTTGAGGAACGGGTAGGTGGCAACACAGACCATGATGGCTCAGCCCCAGAGCTGTTCCCCACCCTCTTCCCATCCTTTGCAGATGGCTGGTCCGGCAGGGCCCTTGGGCAGTGGGCCCCAGAGCCAGACCTGGAGCAGGTCCATGCCCGTATTTGCCCAAGCTCTCCGCTCTCCCTCGCCCTCCCAGGCTGCAAACACAGATGTTCCTTTTGCTTTTTCCCTTTTTCAGCCACAGGACTCCTGGTCCCTCGCACCGCCTGCCAAACTCCACATTCCTGGCAAGAACTGCAGACAAGCAGGACAGGAGGGGCTCCCTGGAGCTGGCCCCGTGCAGCCCTCACTGGGTTCACTCACCTTGAAGCATGCTCCGGTAGGCCGTGTCTGCGATGGCGTAGATGTGAGGCGGCATCTCATGCCTCTTCTTGCCCTTGTACATGTCGACGATCTTCTCCGAGTAGATGGGCAGGTGTTTATAGGGGTTGACCACCACGCAGAAGAGGCCGGAGTATGTCTGCAGACAGAGAACCCAGCTTACTTCCAGACCTCCTCCAGGAAGACAGATCTCACAGAAGCACTCAATATTCTCATCTGAGAGGTGGGGAAACTGGAGCTTGGAGTCTTAGTAGGAAGCCCGGGGCCTCTCTGGTATTCCAGGTATGGGGGAAGAGGAGAAAGGGCGAGAGTGGGTTTCCAGGCTGCCTATGTTATATTTTGCAACTGTAGGGGGCTTTGTGTTTGTTCTGAGATGAGGTCTCACTCTGTCACCTAGGCTGCAGTACAGTGGTGTGAACATGACTCACTGCAGCCTTGATTTTTCTGGACTCAGGTGATCCTCCTACCTCAGCCTCCCGAGTAGCCAGGACTACAGGCAGGCACCACCAGGCCTGGCTGATGTTTGTATTTTTTGTAGAGACGTGGGTTTCACTGTGTTGCCCAGGCTGGTCTCGAATTCTGGGGCTCAAGCAATTCTCCCATTTCAGCCTCCCAAAGTGCTGGGATTATAGGTGTGAGCCATTGCACCTGACGAAACTGTGGAGTTTTGAAGAGCTCTGGGTTCGAATCTCAGTTCCACTCCCCTGAACTGTCACTTTACCTCCCTGGACCTCACTGGCTTAAATGACAGCCACCATTCATTGAACACTTACCATGTGTTGGGCACCAAACTAAACACTATACAGGATCTGTTTTTGGTCGATTAAATGCTCAATCATATGAAATGCTCATCATTTAACAGGTGGCATAGAATGTGAACAGCACAATTCAGATATTAACTCAAGAACATTTAATAAAGAGACTGTTTATAGATATGTGTGCAGAATTAAAGAACTCAACCAGTGATGGGAGCAGTTAAGTCTGAAGAGCAAGAACACAAGAGAATGTTGTTTACTAGTTTGTTTGTTTGTTTGTTTGTTTGTTTTTGAGACAGCGTCTTGCTCTGTCGCCCAGGCTGCAGTATAGTGGGGTGATCTTGGCTCACTACAACCTTGAATTTCTAGGCTTAAGTGATCCTCTCGCCTCAGCCTCCCAAGTAGGTGGTACCACAGGTGTGCACAACCATGCCCAGGTAATTTTATTTTATTTTTTGTAGAGACAGGGTTTCACCATATTGCCCAGACTGGTCTCAAACTCCTGAGCTCAGGCGATGTGCCTGTCTCAGCCTCTCAAAGTGCCACTGCACCCAGCCAGAGAGGGAATGTCATTAACTGAACATTGGAGACATAGAAAGTCACACAGCCCTAAAAAGGGGCTGTCCAGAGGGAGCTGCAGCCATTCAGAAACACACCTGCAAAAACCATGTTCCAGGAGGGAGGGAGGAAAAGGTAATAATCCTCCAACCTCTCTCTTCTCCCACCACCCTCTGATCTCTTTCTGGGACCTCTCAGTGTCCATATCTAAGAAGAAACCCCAGTGACTCAGTCTCTAGAAGATGGCAGAGGCATCTCTTTATGGGTTTTTTGTTTTTGTTTTTGTTTTTTTGAGACAGTGTCTTGCTCTGTCGCCCAGGCTG